TGTAGATGGACACAACACAACACCTTTATTTTATTTATTTTTTTATGTGGTGCTGAGGATCGAACCTGGGTCCCGCCCATGTTAGGAGAGAGCTCTACCGATGAGCCATAATCCCAGCCCCAGCACGTTTTATGTTTTATTTTGAAACAGGTTCTTCCTGAGATGCTTAGGCCCTCACTAAGTTGCTGAAGATGGCTTTAAAATCGAGACCCTCCTGCTTCAGGCTACTGAGCTACTGGGATTACAGGTGTGTGCCAGCATATCCAGCTAATTTTTAAAAGTTGTATATATTCTACCTCTATCCATGGAGGTCAAGAAATAATGATGATCCAGTTTTAAGGAGAATTCTTTACTGTGATCTTTAAATACCATTCCAGACTAAAAGAACTAAAGACTTTTTAGATGAACAACCAATTCCAGGAAATGTACCAGTCATACTTGGGACATCTTATTATGACAAAAAAGCAAGGAAGCAATCAAAACCTAATATCGCCTAATTAAAGCCACAATATCACCTCAGACCTGTTACAATGGCTAGTACCAAAAATACAAAGAGCTGGGCCTGGTAGTATATGCCAGTAATCCCAGTTGTTCAAGAGATGGAGGCAGGAGAATCCAAGTTCAAAGCCAGTCTCAGCAATTTAATGAGGCCCTGAACAATTTAGCAAGATTCTGTCTCAAAAAATAAAAAGGGGCAATTCCTCAAAAACCAAATATCCTATGTTTTCTCTGATTTAAGGAAGCTGATTCATAATAGGGTTGGGGGAAGCATGGGAGGATTCCATGAACTCTAGATAGGAAAAAGGGGAGGGAGGGGAAATGGGATGGGAAAGATGGTGGAATGAGATGGACACCATTATCCTAAGTACATGTATGAAGACACGAATGGTGTGACTCTACTTTGTGTACAACCAGAATATGAAAAAGTGTGCTCTATATGTGTAATATGAATTGTAATGCATTCTGCTGTCAAGTATATACAAATTAAAATTAAATAAATAAAAAGGGTTGGGGATGTGATTCAGTGGTTAAGTGCCTGGGTTCAATCTCTGGTATAAAACAAAATGGCCAAACATAGGTAAGTGTTGGTGAGGATGTAGAGAACACGGTACACCTGTACATTGTTGGTGAGAATGTAATTTAGTACAACCATATGGAAACATTATGGCGGTGCCTCAAAAAATTACAAATAAAACTACCATAGGATTCAGCAATCCTACTACTGGGTATATGAAAAGGAAATGAAATCAGTATGCCAGATACCTGTAGTCCCATGTTCAATGCAGTATTATTCACAATATCCAAGATAAGAAATTAACCTGAGTGATCATCAATGGAAGAATTGGTGGAAATTACCATACACACAAGGGAGTAGTATTCAACTTAAAAAAGAAGAAAAGCCTGTCTTAGGCAATGACATAGATAAACCTGGAGGGACATTATGGTAAGTAAAGTAAACTAGGCACAGGAAGAAAATACTGTCTGATCTCACTAGCATGTCGGATCTCAAAAAGTCCAACTCACAGAAGCAGAAAGTAGACTGATGGAGGTATCAGGCCTGTGCTAAGGGAGAAGGGGTATGGATAGGGCAAGAAAGACACCAAGTTTCTGGTAGAAAAAATGAGTTCTGGAGATCAACTTTATAGCACAGAGACTAATCTTCATAACAATGTATGGAATTCTTGAAAATTGCTTAAATAGTAAGTTTTAAAAAATATTTATTTATTTTTATTTTTTTTATTTTTTCCGGTGGACACAACATCTTTTATTTTATTTTTATGTGGTGCTGAGGATCGAACCCAGCGCCCCGCGCATGCCAGACAAGCATGCTACTGCTTGAGCCACATCCCCAGCCCAAATAGTAAGTTTTAAATGTTCTCTTTACAAAAAGATGGTAAGTATGTGAGGTGATATGTTAATTAATGATGTAATTATGCCTCAATGTACATATATCAATATACATATATCAAAACATCGTGTCATATGCCACAAATATGTTTAATCTTTTAATCAGTTAAAATGATTTTTAAAAATTAGTTTGGAGTTGTAGCTCAGTGGTAGGGCACTTGCCTAGCATGTATAATGCACTGGGTGCGACCCTCAGCACACATAAAAATAAATAAATAAATAAAATAAAGATACTGTGTCCATCTACAACAACAACAACAAAACAAATTAACACTGCCAGCCAGGTGCGGTGGCACATGCTTATAATCCCAGCAACTTGGGAGGCTGAGGTAGGAGGACACAAATTCAAAGCCAGCCTCAACACTTAGTGAGGCCCTGAACAACTCAGCAAGACCCTGCCTCTAAAATAAAAATATAAAAAGGGTTGCAAATGTTGCTTAGTAGTTATTTACCCCTGGGTTCAATCCCCAGTACCAAAAACAAAACTAAACCAAAAAATTAATATTGCCATATCACCAAATGTCACTGGGAAAGGGGTCCAAGGAGGTTCCCAGAGGGAGGGGATCAGAACAACCAGGTTCTTGATGTTCACCAAGAAAAATAATTCAGGACATAGAGGAGTGACAGGCTGACTCTTTTTTTTTTTTTTTTTTTTTTTCTTATTTAGATTCTGAGGATTGAACCCAGGGTGCTCTGACACTGAGCTTCATCCCATCCTTTTAAAAAAATTTGAATCAGGGTCTTCCTAAATTGCCAAGACTCACCTCAAATTTATGATTGTCCTGTGTCACTCTTCTAAGTAGCTGGGATTACAGGTGTGTGTCACTGTACCCAGCTCAAGTTGATATCATTTTTTTCCATATGGGGAATTGAACCTAGAGGCACTTAACCACTGAGCCACATCCCAGGATTTTTTTTTTTTTTTTTTGAGACAGAGCCTTACTATGTTGTTGAGGCTGGCTTTGGACTCATGATCCTCCTGTCTCAGCTTCCCTAGCTGCTGGGATTACAGGCATGTGCAACTGTACCCAGCATCAAGTTGATTTCTTAAGCAATCAAAGCAACACACACTCAGAATTAAATATTTTATTGACAACTGTTGAAAGTAGGTGAGGGTGGGCACAGGGAAGTTTGTTAAAGTATGCTTCCTACTTTTATGTTTGGAAATTTTCATGAATTAAAAAAATAGCAACTGTGATTAAATACAAATAGGTAAGGACAGTAGAGTGAGTATTGGCTATTGGATTTGGCAATATGAAGTCACTGGCAACCTTGAGAAGAGTTGTGGCAGTAGAATGGTGATATTTATACTGAAGTTCAGCAAGAACTAATTGGTAGCAAATGAATGTGGTTGTGGTCAACAGCCTTAAGATGATCCCAAAGCCCCACTTCCTTTTCTTGTGTGACTTTCTTATATCAATAGACTATGGCAACATTTAAATGTCTGTTAGACTTTACATCCAATGGATCATAACTCACCATCTAGGATGGGTATGGTGGCATACGCCTGTAATTCCAGGGGCTTGGGAGGCTGAATCAGAAGGATCTTGAATTCAAAGCCAGCCTCAGAAATTTAGTAAGGCCCTAAGAAACTCAGTGAGGCCCTGTCTCTAAACAGAATACAGAAAAAGGGCTGGGGATGTGGTTCAGTGATTGAGTGCCTCTGGGTTCAATCCTTGGTACCAAAAAAGTATAACAATTCACCATTTTCAAACAGTATACTGTGTGGTACTTATGGTTATAAATACAGATTGTGTGGTGATACAGTCTGAGAATTGTGGAACTAAGAAACATCTTTCTATTGTGCCATATATGCTACTACTCAGACGCCTTTTTTTATGTTAAATTAACAAGTATGTATTGAACACGTTCTTTCAGCAAAGCCTTATGTTAGAAAATTGAGATAATCATTCAGTAGTTCTTCTTTTACATATTCTCTTCCTAAGACCTCAAAGGGTTTTAGACATATCATGCTTAATTTTTCAAAAAACCCCATGGAGTCACATAGGATAGACATTATCAGTGCTTTGGAACTGGAAGTTCTGAATTAGAAAATACACATTCTCCCAAAGTCATACCATTACAGCATGAAAGTTTAAAACCCAACCTCAACTCTAAAACCTAAGGTATTTTAAAATAATCAATTTCAAAATAGTGTTTATTTTCTATATCATTTCAATATTTTTCTGCATAGAAAAAATTAAAAGGTTTAATAAAGTTATGTTAGTCAACTTTTCACTGCTGGCACATACCTGAGAAAAACAGCTTCAAGGAGGAAAGACTTATGTTGGCTGATGATTTCAGAGGTCCCTAGTTGATTGGCCCCATTGCTTTGAGGCTTAGGTGAGGCAGAACATCATGGCAGAAGGGTGTGGTAGAGGGAAACTGCTCAGCTCATGGCAGCCAGGAAGCAGAACAGGGGGCAGCAAGGAAGAGACTGAGGACAAGATATCCTATCCAGGGCATGCCCCATGATCCACTTCCCAAACAGGCCCCATCTCCTAAGGTCTTTACCAGCTGCCAATAATGCCATCAAATTATTCATTTGTCAATGGATTAATCCATGATGAGGTCAGAATCCTCATGATCCAATCCTATCCCAACACCTCACCTCTGACTATTGCTGTATTGAGGACCAAGCCTTCAACACACAAACCTTTAGGGAATGTTCAATCCCCATGTATCACAATAGTTTCGAATATTCATTAAATGTCATTTGAAGGCAAACAAAAATGTCTCAAAATTGAATATAACCTAATGTTTTGTGTAAATTCTCACACCAGTGATTCATAATGTTTCCTTTTTTCCCCAAGCCTTCATATCAACAATCCTCCCACCTCCAACAGAGTTCTCAGAACCATAGCTTATTTCATTGCCTAAAAAATCTGTAGATATTAAAGAAATGGGGGGTGGATGGGTAGATAAAATGAAGCACTAGAGCCAGGCATGGTGGTACACATCTGTAATCCCAGTTACTCAGAAGGCTGAAGCAGGAGGATCATGAGTTTGAGGCCAGCCTGAATAACTTAGTGAGACCCACTCTCAAAATAAAAAATAAAAAGGGCTGGGGACTTAGAGCACCCCTGAGTTCATTACCCAATACTACAAAAGAAAAGAAAAGAAAAAGCAACACAGAAAGAGTTAAGATAAAAAATAATAAAAAACAATAAATAGTGATTTATTAAAATGAATAATGCTGCCAACACATATTAAAAAGCACTGTGAAGTTACACTTGACCTACCTAGGACTTAATGAAGGTCCTAAACTCACTCTCAACAGATATTTGAAAGGTACTGAAACTGATAAAAATCTAAAAAAAAAAAGAAAACATTAAAATTTAAATAATCTTTGTAGCTGGGCGGGTTGTAGCTCAGTGGAAGAGTACTTGCCTAGCATGTATGAGGCACTGGGTTTGATTCTCAGCACCACATACCAATAAATAAAATAAAGGTCCATCAACCACTAAACTATATTTTTAAATATTAAAAACAATCTTGTACCCATCCAAGGTGGTTTATGCCTGTAATCCCAGCTGCTTAGAAGGCTGAAGCAAGGAGATCATAAATTTGAGGCCAGCTGGGAAACTCACCAAGACCCTATCTCAAAATAAAAAATAAACAAGTTGGGATGTAACTCAGTGGTAAAGTGTCCCTGGGTTCAATTCTCAATAGAAACACATAGACACACACACACACACCCCTGTATGACTTAAATTATTTAAGTGCACATTAATATTCAGTTATGAAAGAAAATGTGTAAAATGGCACATGTTTAGCATATGCAAGGCCATGAGTTCAACACCCAGCACCAAAGGAAAAAAAATACCAAACCCAAGCTATGAAATGACAAAATTGATCTGCTTAAGTCTAACCACTACCCAATCCCTTCCTCACTCTTTAACCTAATTATAGATTAGCCACTGTACATTCCATCTTCTCCTTATGCTGCAAAATCCTTCTGACCTGTTCCTCATGATCTAAAGCAAAGTCTGAGGATAGTCACCTGTCACCTATTTTAGATATTCTATGCTTTTTTTTGGGGGGGGCACTATTGGGGGCTGTTCCTTGGGTGCTCTATCATTGAACTATAACCCCAGCCCTTTTTATTTATTCATTTATTTTGAGACAGTATTTAGCTATAGTGCTGGGGTTATTCTTGAATTAACATTCCTCCTACCTCAGTCTCCTAAAATGCTAGGATTATAAGTAAGTGCCACCATGCCAGCCTTGCCCTTACTTTTCTATTCAAGTGGTAACATTTTGCCAGTTTGTCTCCTCCAAATGGGTAATTTCTCTCCCCCAAATGGGTAATTTATCACACTTTATTGTTACCTTCCAGCATCTTAAATAACACATGCAAAGTGGTCAGACTTTAGAGGTGCCCCCACACAAAGAGCTAAATATTTCATTTGCAACCAAAATGCTTAAAAATTGAGTGAAAGATATATTTAATACAGCCAAACAACAGATAAACATTTATAGTTACTGAATTGGAAAAGAATTTATATATTGTACAAAAAAGATCAAACTTTGTTAAGAACTATTGGTTAGGAGAATGGTAGGGCTCAATGCTTGAGAATAAATTTAAAAAAATATCAGAGAAGCAAAGTGGGAAGAACATCTGAAATCTTTCTGCCCAGGGATACATACTGTTGACATTTTAGTATACATATGTCAATCTCTGGGCTGGGGATGTTGCTCAGTGGTAGAACACATGCCTAGCATATGCAGGACCCTGGGTTCAATCCCTAGCACTGCAAAAGAGAACAATAATAGTTACTTTGATATCTGAATGGCCACATTCTTACTGACTTATCATTTCCATTTAAAATCTGGAGTTCTCAACTGAACTTTAAACTCAACTCTAAATTGCCCCAGGCTGCATTTCTTACCTGAGTCTTTTTGGCCAACCACCTCTCTTATTCCTGCTCAGTTCTGCAGATTTTTTTCTTCCTAGGCCATATCAATCATGGTTTTGCCTCAGCAAATTCAAACCTGATATTTGTCTGTGACTCTCACTCACCCCAGATATTTTCATAGTTCCCCTCAAACATAATTCAGGTGTTTTAACGCAAATGTTACTATGGAAGGGAAGATATCTCTGACCATCTTCCTAAAATAGCATTCCTGTAGCCTTCTTTTCTTATTTTTTTTTTTTACTTTCTTCAGAGCTCTGATACACCCAACATTAAACAGTATATTAACTATCAAGTTTTCTCTGATGCTTCTTAGACTCTAAGTTCCAAGGAGGCATGGGTATCTAAACAGTGCCTGGCCAGGCACAATTAACTAAAATTAACTGAAAATATAATTATGAAGACTTGACTCTTAAAAAAATCAACAGTAAATTTCAACTTAAGGGTACAAACTTAGAAGTCACACCCAATCTCAATCCAGACTTGTTCCTAGATGTCCCATCTAAGCATCAAATGAGAGGCACTATTGGATAACCTTCAATTTTTTTCTTATGTTAAAATTCCTTTTAATTATTTACCATTTATTAAGTGCATAACCAGTACTTTAAAAATGTATAACACTTTGTAAGTACAAATAATATTTCATTTCATCCCTGAAAGCGAAAACAAGAAACAAAAATGTCTGCATCTCATCAGAGACCAATCATTTCACACTTTACCTGGCAATGATATATAATTAATTTCTTCACATAAAGGTTCAGAAAAGACAGTTTAAAAAATCATCATTTATGAAACAATATTTTCTCACACTTATTTCAACAAAATATTATAATTATTGCTACTATTTGTGGTAGCATATTATAATAATGTGAAAACAATATCTAAAACTAAATTTAATCTAGAAACTAGCTGCGCTTCAGCAGCTATTATAGAGAATAAATACTACAACATGTAGGGTACCATATAGCAATTAAATTTGTTACAAGGGAAATTTAAATAAAGGTGTACTTTTTTTCTATACTAAAATTACCCTAGATAGATATTTCTTGTGCTGTATACAGTATCTGAAAGGATAGCCAATCTTTATAATTTAAATATATCTTAATTGTTCTTAATTATTTTAAGTGGTCATTATATTAAATGAAAACCTAATCACAAAGGTTTCATAAAGCATGATACTCTTACATAACATCAAGTAATATTAACATTTTCTAAGCAATGTTATGCAGCACAAACACCTTCATTATACTCTTACTATGGAAGGGAAGGTATCTCTGACCATCTTCCTAAAATAGCATTCCTGTCACCTTCTTTTCTTCTTCTTCTTATTATTATTATTTTTTTATTGGTTGTTCAAAACATTACACAGCTCATGACATATCATCTTCCATACATTTGATTCAAGTGGGTTATGAACTCCCATTTTTTACCCCAAATACAAGTTGCAGAATCACATCGGTTACACATCCACATTTTTACATAATACCATATTAGTGACTGTTGTATTCTGCTACCTTTCCTATCCCCTACTATCCCCCCTCCCCTTCCCTCTCATCTTCCCTCTCTACCCCATCTGCTGTTGTTTAATTCTCTCCCTTGTTTTTTTTTTTTTTCCCCTTTCCCCTCACAAACTCTTATATGTAATTTTGTGTAACAATGAGGGTCTCCTTCCATTTCCATAGTTTCCCTTCTCTCTCCCTTTCTCTCCCCCCACTCGTCTCTGTTTAATGTTAATCTTTTCCTCATGGTCTTCTTCCCTGTTCTGATCTTAGTTGCTCTCTTTATATCAAGGAAGACATTTGGCATTTGTTTTTTAAGGATTGGCTAGCTTCACTTAGCATAATCTGCTCTAATGCCATCCATTTCCCTGCAAAATCCATGATTTTGTCATTTTTTAGTGCTGCGTAATACTCCATTGTGTATAAATGCCACAGTTTTTTAATCCATTCATCTATTGAAGGGCATCTGGGTTGATTCCAAAGTCTAGTTATTGTGAATTGTGCTGCCATGATCATTGATGTGGCAGTATCCCTATAGTATGCTCTTTTAAGGTCCTCAGGGAATAGACCGAGAAGGGCGATAGCTGGGTCAAATGGTGGTTCCATTCCCAGCTTTCCTAGGAATCTCCATACTGCTTTCCATATTGGCCGCACCAGTTTGCAGTTCCACCAGCAATGTACAAGTGTACCCTTTTCCCCACATCCTCGCCAGCACTTATTGTTGCTTGACTTCATAATGGCTGCCAATCTTACTGGAGTGAGATGGTATCTTAGGGTGGTTTTGATTTGCATTTCTCTGACTGCTAGAGATGGTGAGCATTTTTTCATGTACTTATTGATAGATTGTATGTCCTCCTCTGAGAAGTGTCTGTTCAGGTCCTTCGCCCATTTGTTGATAGGGTTGTTTGTTATCTTGTTGTTTAATTTTTTGAGTTCTTTGTATATTCTGGATATTAGGGCTCTATCTGAAGTGTGAGGAGTAAAGATTTGTTCCCAGGATGTAGGTTCCCTATTTACCTCTCTTATTGTTTCTCTTGCTGAGAAAAAACTTTTTAGTTTGAGTAAGTCCCATTTGTTGATTCTAGTTATTAACTTTTGTGCTATGGGCATCCTATTAAGGAATTTGGAGCCCGACCCCACAATGTGTAGATTGAAGCCAACTTTTTCTTCTATCAGGTGCAGAGTCTCTGATTTGATATCTAGGTCCTTGATCCATTTTGAATTTACTTTTGTGCATGGCGAGAGAAAGGGGTTCAGCTTCATTTTGTTGCATATGGATTTCCAGTTTTCCCAGCACCATTTGTTGAAGATGCTATCCTTTCTCCATTGCATGCTTTTAGCGCCTTTATCAAATATAAGAAAGTTGTAATTTTGTGGATTGGTCTCTGTGTCCTCTATTCTGTACCATTGATCCACCTTCCTGTTTTGGTACCAGTACCATGCTGTTTTTGTTACTATTGCTCTGTAGTACAGTTTGAAATCTGGTATCGCTATACCTCCCGATTCACACTTCCTGCTTAGAATTGCTTTTGCTATTCTGGGTCTTTTGTTTTTCCATATGAATTTCATGATAGCTTTATCTATTTCTACCAGAAATGCCGTTGGGATTTTGATTGGCATTGCATTGAACCTGTAGAGAACTTTGGGTAATATCGCCATTTTGATGATGTTGGTTCTGCCTATCCATGAACAGGGTACATTTTTCCATCTTCTAAGATCTTCTTCTATCTCTCTCTTTAGGGTTCTGTAGTTTTCATTATATAAATCTTTCACCTCTTTTGTTAGGTTGATTCCCAAGTATTTTATTTTTTTTGAGGATATTGTGAATGGGGTGGTTTTCCTCATTTCCATTTCAGAAGTTTTGTTACTGATATACAGGAATGCCTTTGATTTATG